GTCTGTGGGAGTTAAACTACTGCCCAGACTTCTCTGACACTTTGTTTTTATATGCATTCACTTTGAATCTTATGCAAAGGTGTTTCTTAGCAGCGTATTAACCACCCTTCTGATTTCCAGCAGCATTTGTTTCAGATTTTTTTCTTCTCATTTTTCTGAGCTGTAAATTTTGATCTGCTCTGTCCCCTGGATTTTCCCCCTGTATTTATTTTAGTTGCTTGTTATGCTTATTTGATCTGGATCTTGGCTTCTTTATTATCTCAGTTGGCATTTCTCCTTTTTTTTTATTCCAAAAGCAGTGTTTCAGCACTTAAATGTCTGACAGGTTAATCATGACAAAAAGGAATGTACTTAAATCTCATTATATTTTTCAACTTCAAAGAGTTTTGCTCATATTTATTAATGTATCATCACAATATTTAAGTCAGAATTACCACTGCTGTTTCAAAGGTAGGTGAACCGAGGTGCAGACATTAAAGCTTAAATCTCTTCTACATTTAAAAAGTACAAATAGTCAGCAGGAGGCCTAATCTGTAGGAAGCAGGAGAAGTCTGGTACTAAGAGGGTTTTCAAAGTTTGTGTTTGGTATTGTCCAAGTTTCCCAACTTCTTCGAGTCTGTGCTCTAGTGCAGTGGATTTAAGCACCTTCCTCATCTTTAAATGACAGTGTTCTGAAGTACTGAAAACTTAACTACCTAAACCAACATCAGCCTAAATGATTCTCTGCCTGGTCTAAAGCAAACTGATACTATGCACTAATACCTTACTGTATGTGGGAGGATTTTCTTTACAGGTGATGTAAAATTCCTCCATGCAGACTGAAGTGCAAGAGAGGACAGTAAGGTAACAATTAATGTTCTAAAACTTCACAGATTATGGGAGGGTGGGAAGTATTACAGTTGTTTGTTGCTGCTGCTGACCCATAAAGGCTCCAGTTCACAGTACCACAGAACACAGTGGTTCACCTCTTCATGACCACATTTTGGCATTTCCACCTGCATTGATACATGGCAAAAGCACTGCTGTGCAAACACCTCTATTGATTTAATTCTGAAAATATAACACATTGCAAAATAAAAAAAAAAAGTGAGCATTGCAACTATGGATTTTTAATTACCCTAAATTCGAAGTAGTGCACATGAATACTGTACATCATAAAATTCTTAGTCATGTAGTTATACTCTTCAGTTTATCTGATAATACACTACCACTCTGCTAAATCATTACCAATGTAATCTTTAAAACAGTAGCTCTTTGTCCACTGTAGGTTGTAAAAAGAAAAAGTATTATCTTCATCAGATATCATAGCTTTCATTTTTTCCTATGGTATTGTTTATTGGTGACTAAGGTCTGCTTACTTTCAATTCTAAGCAGGAACTCATTCTATTACTTCTCTTTTAAGAAAAACTTCTTCCCAAAAGCCTGTAAAATAAGATTGAGATCACTGACACACTTTTCTGAAAAGTATTCAGGAAACAGTACTGTTGAATATTACAACCTCAGATGTTGAGATACTACACCACAAAAAATATATTCTTCAACTAGTCACAATGAATTATCTTTCCCAGTTTTGTTTTAGAACTTGATATTCCAGATTGGCATTAATTATCACTGCTACTAAGTTTCTACAGTATATCATGAAGTAAGACTTGAGGAAATTAATACATTCTCTAAATGACTGATATTTTCTGTGAATACTGAAAATAGTCTATACACACAGTTTATATTGTCATCAGATCTCTTTTCTTTTTCACCAGCAACAGATAAATCCACTGTAGCATTTTACTGTATTTTAAAATGAAAACTAATAGTTAGTAAAGGCAAAAACATGTGTGCACATTGGAAAGTACATTTTGTGTCTCTCCAAGTGGCATGTAATATATCAAGAACCATGTATGCTCATTATGCCACATCTGTGGTTCAGAAAGACAGTACATACAATGGATATAGTAATACTTTTGCTTAAGCAATAGTTAGGACTTGCATAAATCCAAAAGGAAATATAATTATTTAACACCATTTAGAAGACTCACCTTCAAATTCACGATATTTGATAAGCCCTGTAACTTTTAACCACTTCAGCTTTAGTGGTACAAAAAGGTGAAGAATAAGAGTGTTTATTTTTAAACTTCAGTTCCTGTTGAAATTGTCAATGACTTTTAAAGGAAGTATTCTGAAGCACCAGAACAATTATTTCAGATACAGAACTTCCAAGTGGAACACATGACTGAAGGAAAGTATCATACCATAAATGTTCTGAAATGACTTTGAGCCAGTCTGCCTCTTATCATCACAAATTTCATTTGCCAAGATGCAGTTAATGTATTCACAAAACTGTGCTTATGTTCAGAATCACTAATTCTAATTCACATTTAATTTCAGGAAATCTGAGTTCAAAAAGAGCCTAATCTTTTAACTCCTTTTTATTGTTTGGCTACACTAGAAAAAAGTGTCAGGTACTCAGGATACCTGCTTCCTTAGCTGCCACTTTGCAGCAAGCTGCAGAAATGGGTGCAGAAAACTGCACAAACATTTCAAGTCTATTTCCAATTGTCAGCATACCATCTATACCTACACAGTTCAAATTTCAGCCTTAGGTACATGGAAAGAAATGTGAATATTTGGAAGATATTCCACATTCCTTCTATCTTCTGCCACACTGATTTTTTTCCACTTTTAGTGCTTTTGGACTTATTATCACAGCAGCACCATGATGCTAAGTACACAACAGCAAAAACCATCAGAATTAAATTCTTAGCTTAGCACCACTTCCTCCTTTCCCTTACTCCCACTTCCCAGAAGCTGTGTCAATGCTTTTCCACAGAATCTTTGTTCCAGCTGTGGCTAGGGGATCCCTGTCACCCCTTCTTCCAGCAAAGGGCTATGGCAGAAAGCTGTGCTGAGTGCAGGCTCATGGGAGACGGGAGTGTCTAGCACAGCACATGCAAGAGGAGCTCATGAAGATGGAGACAGTCCTGCACCACAGGATGAGACTGGAAAAGGATGTGGCCTCAATGTCCAATCAACTTTCAAGTGGTGCAGACAGAAGTCCTTTTCTTCCCCACAAGTAACATCTCCATGGGAGAAGAGATGGTTAGAAGAAGGTCAAGAAAAGAGGTTATTATTTTTTAATTCTGAATGTTGTTTCTCTTTTCACACCTACACATTATACACTTCTTTCTTCTGTGCCTTTCCACCTCTATCCTACCCAAATAACTTCTCCTTTCAGCATTCTCTTAAATCCCATATTATTCTATTTCTGTCACACTTTCATTTCTCCTTTCAGAGAACCATAGAATTATAGAACCATTTAGAAAAAAAAGACTTTAATATCTTTGAGTCCAACTGTTTACACAGCACTATGAAGTCCACCACTATACCATGTCCCTAAGCCCAAAATCTTTTAAACATCGTTTTAAACATCTTTAAAATACCTCCAGGGATGATGACTCCATCACTGCCCCTGGCAGCCTGTTCCAGTGTTTGACAACACTTCTACAGAAGAAATTCTTACCAATATCCAATCTAACTCTCCCCTGAAGGGGGAAGAAGAGACTGACGCCCACCTGGGCACTCACTGGCTCATGTTCAGCTGCTGTCCCCCCCAGGTCCTTTTCCACCAGGCAATTTTCCAGCCGCTCTCCCCCAAGCCTGCAGCACTGCAGGGGTTGTTGTGACCTTCTTGTGACCCAAGCAGAGGGTTCAGCATTTGGACCTTGTACCACTGTACTTTCTTGAACCTTGTACCACTGGCGTCACCCCATGGATCCAGCCTGCCCAGATCCCTCTGCAGAGCCTTCCAACTTTCCAGCAGATCAACACTTCTGCTCAAGTTGTGTATGCAGACTGAGGGTGCTCTCGGTCTCCTCAGTCAAATAATGAATAAAGATATTAAATGTGCCTGACCCCAACACTGAGCCCTGAGGAACACCACTGGTAATCAGTGACCAGCTGGATGTAGCTCCATTCACCAACTCTCTCTAGACCTGGTCATCTTGACACTTTTTACACAATGAAGAGCACATGGGTCCAAGCCATGAGCAGTAGAGCATGACTCTCCAGAATGCTGTGAGAAACCGCGTCAGGTGTCGCGGGTGGATGTGTCCAGGTCGACACATCCACAACCTTTCCCTCATCCACTAAGTGGGACACCCTGTCACAGAGGAGCAGGTCAGTCAGTCAGGACCTGCCTTTAATAAACCCATGCTAGCTGGGCCTGATTACCTGTACATGCTCTGTGAGGCTGTGAGGATCCTCAGTATCATTTGCTTCATATCCAAACTAAACCTTCCCTGTCACAACCTTGAGGCCATTTCCTTTTGTCCCATCACGTGTTACTTGTGAGCCTGGTCCCCACTCCAACCTCCACTGACCTCACTCCAACCTCTTTTTCGGTAGCTCTGAAGAGCAGTAAGGTCCCCTCTGTTCCTCCGTTTCTCCAGACTAAACACCCCCAGCTCCCTCAGCTCCTCTGCCATCAGACTTGTCCTTCAGATGCTTCACCAGCTTCGCTGCCTTTCCCTGGACATGCTCCTGCACTTCAGAGTTTGCTTTGAAATGAGGGCCCCAAACCCAAGCCCGGTACTTGAGACGCGGCCCCACCACTGCCAAGCACAGAAGCACAATCACTGTCCTCATCCTGCTGCCCACACTATTGCTGATACAGGCCTGGATGCCACTGGCCTTCAAGTCAGCTCATGCTCAGCCATCTGTGCCCCCTCTGACCCAGCGCTTTCAAGTCCCTTATTTTCTAGCACAATCCCTGTACTTTTTAGAGGTTCCTTTTTCTGACTTGCCCCGCAAAACCCCCATCCCACTGCCTGACAACCATCAGTTTCGGGGACCGGCTGGGAGCGCAGTGGTTCGCTGGGACGGGTAGGTAATCCCTGGCTCAGCACAGCGCTGCCCGAGGCCGCAGCCCCACGTCCCCGGCCCCGCCGCCCCGTTCCGCCCGCCGGCGGCCCCGCCCCTGCGCCTTCCC